GGTCACAACAGGGAGGTTGTATTTTGATCTGGCCACGTTCATTCGTTTGGAAAATCTTTTATGATAATCATAATAGGACTTTGTGTAGGTATGTGCGCCACATACATGTTCTGACTATCTAAATTAAAACAGCCATAATAACCGATGATTTTCTTTCACTAACCTATTCTTAACACTATTTTGTCAGTGAACATAAAGTAACCAGTGATTGTACAAGTCAAACCTTATCGTTCTTTTTTTAAAATTATATTAGATAATTCATTTACTATCTTTTTATGTTAATATTAATAGGTAACTGTATTAGTCCAATCAGTACTCATGTTTTCAATTTCGTTGGCAAATAACTGGTGTTCAATAGACGTTATTTGATTTCACCAAATTAGATGTAGTGATGATAGTTCAGACTAAATTATCAATCATTAGGTCAAACTTCGTTACAACTACTTAACTTCGGAATATTTTTTGATCTTTCTAACCACTAGAAACTATTGAGTTTTGTTACTATTTTACTTTATTTGTCGTTCATCTTTGAAGGCTATTCTCTAAGAATGGACTAGTTAGCTAAATATTTTATTGGTTTACTGACTTTGAAGATGTATTAAATTGTTTGTATTGTAGAAAACATAGAAACTCTAGATCATATGATCATATAAAAAATGAATACTGTTCAATCTACTTACTAGACTAGATTAGTCTCTTGTGACTTTGAATCGGGCAGAAACTGTCCATTGTACTGGTAATATATAAATTTCTCTATTTTAAGCACGACTTGAGATAGTCTGTTAATTTAAATATTTCTGATTATTTCAAGTTGCACATCAAAATGCATCTGATTTATCTAAATACAGGTCAGTACTGTAAGTGGCACAAAATTTATATTAACATACACTTTATTAATGTCAACCTATCTATTTATAAATACAGTTTACTTTCCACATGTTCCACTCTTCTAGTTTGTTTGTGTATATCAATATGTTTAGTGTTCTTTGTTTTGCTTATAAGTGATATTTCATTTATTGTTTGCACTTTGTTAAAACATATTTATTACAAAATATTCGAGACAATAGCGAATAAATTTGTCTTATTCACAGTTTTCTGTATTCTATGACATTTTAGTTGTAAATTACTAACTCGAATAATCAAAATACAAAATTTATTTCACCCCGTGCAAAAACAGTCTAATCGATCTGATTTTAATTTTGCTGGAATATTATAATCTGGGACTAGGAAACTTAATTGATTACCACCTGGCGTCATAAATTTCTAATGTTTCTACATGTCATATTTGTCTGTTGTTTTTTTTGAGTTATCATTGCTAATATATTTAATACTTAATGAACCCATTAAATCTCGTAAATTATTCGATAGAAATTTTTCAGTTTTTTTATTTGTGCCATAGATTGTTTTATAAATTCCCTAGCATAGGAATATGTAAAAATCACCCAATGTGGTTGTTGTTTTGCAATTTTGTACACATTAGAATTTGTTTGAATCCCGAATTGATAACAACTTGTATAATTAATGAGGTATTACATTTTAGTTTCATCTTAAATGATTGTGTACGATGCTTGACTTGAACATTTTTGGATATGAATCTCTATAGAGTCGTGTGTATTCGCGTCTTAAAAAACTCATTAAACATATTAACATATTAAAGCCTTCACTCACTAATCCTTGATTCGTTCAAAGTATCCCTTATCCATGCCGAAAATATCACTATGATTATTTGGCCTGGCAATATCGAATTAATTTGGATATTAGTCAATATTTGAACGAAATAACTTGACTGATTGAAATTTAGGTAATTCCAACATTGAGTCTAGCAGACTTGTTTGTACTTCTTCAGGGTAATGATCAAAATTAAGATTGTCAAAGTTTATAGATAAATTTAATCAACCAATCGACTCTAAAAGTAATAATAATATCTTTATTCTATATTATGTGTTTAGTACAATATAGAATTCTCAGCACGAAATATTTCAGCAATTATCCCTTACAAAACAATTAGTGATCGGCAGTTGAAAGCAAGCAGCCTAGTAAATCAACATCGTATTAACGTTCATTCTTTTCTCAGCAGATTGCCAACGAACCTCAATGTCTTCGTTTGTACATTTTTGTACCATGTGAAGCAATAGCTCATAAAATTTTTATATACGCGCCTTAATAGATTATATAACGAGCGGATATAATTGACGTCTTAAAAATATTCAAGCTTATCCAACCATATTTAAATGTTGATTTTCTGTTTCATAAAAAAGTATGAATCAGTGAGATGCAAAAAATGTATAAGAGTATGTATGTACATATGTGTATCTTGATATGATTTTTTTTCAGTGGAAACCTCATAGTGAATAAATATGAAATCCCTCTCTGTCACTAAGTACACGTTAATCGTTTTGTTTATTAAAAGCTAATAGTACAATTAAATCGTCGAAGTGTATGTAAAATGCGAAAGGTCAATTTCATGATTATGACGTTTAACATTGGAAACAATTTTTTTCGGAAACAAGCTGCAAGTGGTAGAAATAAATTTCATTTATTTGTCAACTTGTAATTGTCAAGGCGTGACTAATTGTATTCCACCTTTTCTGTTCACTGTTCTGATTAGCCCATATGCATTGTGCTTGCGCTGTCAATCTTTCTTTGTGATCTTCATACCACTCCCTAGAATATTTTGATTTCTTAAAAGGTAATCTTGTGCCTTGGTTCTAATGAATGTAGCACCATCGCGAATCTGTTCTCATGTTTAAAACCTACCAGAAATTTAGTGGGATGTTTTAAACACTGTGTTTCTTCAACCAAATATTCGGCTGCTTTGTTGTTTCTCCCACATATACTACACTACACTCATAATTTCTGAGATTACAATCATCATATCCAAACAAATTGAAAATCAAGTTTCTGACGTTCCATAATTTAGTATAAATTGCTTCTTGAGAGAATATATTTTACCAAAGTCAAATTCAAATTCTATAGTACAAGGAAACAAATCAAATCTACTGGTTTATAACTAAATTGAAATGAACAGTTAGTCTATAGAAAATTCTTAATTTTTCATCTAACAACTAATAATGTGTATGTTATAAATATTTAAAAATATTTCTTTCTTGTTCTTTTAGTTAGTTTTTTTTCTCAAATTCAGTTTGTTTATTTAACAGTTCAAAAATCTACCATAATGCTTAAAATATTCAAAATCTGATAATTTATAAACTTATAAATAGTAATAATAATAATAATCATTTATCGCTAAAATGTTCTTATAACATAAACAGACTTGAATTCATTAAACTAGACAATGTTCATTGTCAAATTATTTCAGATATTGCTAGCGATTGTTATTACTAATTTCTTGTCAACCCTGCATTAGTTAATACTCTTTATCATTTTTATTAGTTATAATAAACTTTCCAGTTGCTGTTAAATGTATTACATAATTATCGTTTTGTTTAAAATATACTCATAAGATAAACATACATGACATAGATTGTGTTTTTTGCGCTTCCAATTCCCATAAATGTACTTGAATGTTTATAACTTGTGGAACATAAGTAATTTATATATATATATATATATATATATATATATATATATATATATATATATAGTTCGCATATATTGAAGCGGAAAACCAATGAAATTTAGCTGTTACTGTTATCATCAATCCTTGAATTTGTTTAGATAATAAGATACTTCAACTGTTTTATTATTATTGGAAAAATTGTGTAACGTATTTTGGAAATTCATTAAAACCTAATACCAGTAATCTTATTTTGACGCCTTCACTAAATCTTTATTTCTTTGGAGATCAAGCAATTTGTTTATTTGCCGTCTTTCTGAAATAAATGTTTAGTTGTCAGCCGTTTATTTGTGTATACAAGGGTAGTTTCAGATTGTGCCGGACTTTTATTTAGGCCTGGGATAATTTTTGTTTGTCTTGTGACTTGAATTTGTGTGCACCGTCCAGTTAATAATGCTGAGATATCACAAACTTTTGGGTCTAGTGATGGTATTTGCTATCTAAAGATGAATATTAATATATTAAGTTAATTAAGCATTCTAAGTACTTTGTATGGTTTATTTCCGTTCCACAAATTGAAAGTCTACCCTTTTTTACTTTTAAAGACATCCTATTAATGTGAACCAACTTGTTTCTTGGCGTTTAAATTTTGTCTGAAAGTTATCTACGTCCAGTTCTTGCCATTTTTGTCAATAATTGTTAATGGAAAACATATAACTGTATCCCAATATTGTCTCTGTCACAAATCTCGCTGGAACGAAACATTTTAAAGATTTAAACACAAATTGTTATTTTCAAGTAATCGACACCTTTCTTGTTTTGTATTCTGTTCACCGAAAATATTGTTCTCAAGTGAAAGTATATTAATCCCTTGACTAAATAAATAAACTGATCATCGGTTCGTTTAATTTTTATACTTATCTGCATCAAGTTTAGCTTACTCATTTTTATTACTTTCTGGATTATCAGGTGCATTCGTTAATTGTTAGTTGAGTATTGAACACCACTCCACTTTCTTTGTTTTCTCACCTTAAATTAGTGTACGTTAGTTTATTCTCTGTCATTACTCTTACTAGAAAATAAGCAAATTTGTTCATTCATTGTTCACTACGGTTATATGATACAACTTCTGTTCCATATTTTGTCGTAAATTGTACAAATTTTTATATTGAAGAGTATGCAGGTCTGGATATTTAACGTACATATTCACTGGTCGTACATCTTATTTGTGTATATTGGCCTCTGGTATGTTCATGAACAGAATAAACATAACTAACCAATCATTTTTGCCGACGGTTATGATTGGTTTAGAAACTTGACTAAAATAAAAGCATAAAATCAACTACAAACCAAAATAGTAATCAATGCGCAAATGTTTACTTTTCGAATAATTGCAAATTAATAAATTGCTTTAATTTTGTATTTTCACCTATCATTTTCTTATCATTAAAATGCCAATTTTATATGCTTCACATTATAATAGCACAACATCATCGACCACAAATTGTATGAAAAATATTGAACAGTTGAACTACTTGAAATCATCTGATGTGTCAACATGTATAAATAATAACAATAGCAGTTTGAATCCTAAAGATTTATATCCTATTCCACCACTGTGTGTGCCTGCTGGAAGTTTCTGCTGTTCACACACACCACCTACTCCGATTAGACGACCATGGTTAGGCAATAATTCAGGACAATTAGTCACTGGAAGGAGTCGATCCACCGGACAAAAGCGTTCAGTTTACGTAAATTCTTCAATATATCCAATTCCTGAAATGATACGAAATAATGACACCAGTGTAAACAGTCGTAGTGGCTATGCAAGAGATCAACAAAATTCTACCGACACTACTATCACAACCTCTTCAAGTTCAAATCCTGTGAACACATCCAAAATAGAAAATATCACTGTCATTAGTAATCATACTAATGACAAAACCACACTAAATAATATATCTGGTACACCAGTCCCCTATTGGACACATTTATTACCATATCGTACATCAACTGTGCCTCAAAATTTATCTGGTCGTTTGAGAAAATCGGAAACACTCCCAAATGACTGGATAGATCATGAGTCGAATAAAATTGTGGATCATACAACCCATTCGATACCTAAATCTACATCATATCAATTGAATTCACTAAGTCAAAATCATAATGCACAACATTCAAATCATTTTGATGGGTGTAAATCACGTTCATATGTTAATTTCAACTCTAACCATATTATTAATACTACTTCTACTACTACTAATAATAATGCTAATAATAATAATAATAGTGTTACAGATAACACTAACAACGTAAATCGTAAAGAAACTAAATCACCGCCTCCAAGACCTCCAATCAGAACAAGTTCACATGTTGTACCACGTCAAAATATTACTTCTTCCTTATCATCTTCATATTGTCATCATCGTCATTGTCAGAGACATTTTGCTTCAGGATTACTAGATAAATCTACGAAGGCCAACACAAATGAACACAGTAATAATAATATACTGACGGAAAATTCAAATGACAAAAGTATCGGTGAGAGCCCTATACTTTGTCGATACTCACAACTTTATTCCTTGAATGCTGAAGCTAGAAACACTAATACTAATGACAAAAGTAATAATACTAATTCTCCTTATTCTCACAACACAGTAATAAACAATATGACCAGTTCCAATTATTCTTCTATTGATGCTTCAAATAAAAGAAATACTGCCGTTCATCCTCATCAATATATTCTCTATGAACAACGTCAGCAGCAGCAGCAGCAGCAACAACAACAACAATCTCCTATTCATCATCATCATCAACATTCTGTTCAATATCATCAATGTCAATCGCATCCTTCAAATAATCGAAGCAATTATAAACAATTAGTTGATTTCGATATGAAAAAATTAGGAAAGTAATCAAGTTCAGTCACAATGGTTGAAACCGAATAAATTTGGTAGCCTTACACTCAAATTTTAGGTTTGTCCAACTACCATGAATTATCTTTTCAAATTGTATTTTTTAAACAATAAATTTATTTCCTACCATTAAAAAACCAATAAGGATTTATAATAAATCATTCTGTTATAAAAATAGACTACTTAACAGACCGGTTAATTTCAAATTGAATTCTCCTCTTACTTTTATGTCTGTCTTAATTTACTTTTCTTTACGGCTTAATTTCGTCACTAAAAATAATTTTTACTAGAGACACACATTACAACTAACAACTATCGTCTCATCTGTCTATGATTGCATTTTTGATTTCAGCAACAATTATATTGATAATAATAAAAAAAATCCAACATTCATTATTCCAGTGATTACTTCCAATTATCTTCAATCAAAAGTTCCTTTCTGCGGTGACTTGTTGTATGTTTTTTGTCACTTCCTATTGATTTCTCCATCTACCCATCTACCCTCTTAATTATTTGTTGTTTGTTACGAAATGACTTTTATTCCATGTAATCTGTCTGTGTAACCTGTATCCGGCATATTTTCTAAACTGGATACAAATTGAATACCACTGTTACCATTAAGTATTGTGAATGGTAATATCATGGCTATAATCATCAATTTCTAATGTAACATTATTTGTTTTTGATTCACTGAGGCTGTGCAACTATCTTCATTTGTTTATCAGCAGCATTCTCTCATAGAATCCGTACATAAACACATCTACACACACACACACACATGCGATTCACATCGAACAATAGTACTTCACCTGCAGGCTGTTTTCTGTTTGTCTTCTCGTCATTATTCTTCGTCATGTTCTTTCTTGATTTCTTTTTCCTAATTCAATTTGCTTTTATTTTTTATGATTATGAAGTAAATTACATATTGTTTTTAATGGAATTTTTTTTTTAGGAAAATTATTTTGCAATATGTATGTTTGTATGTATTTATGTGTGTATGTATACCTGTCAGCATGTCGATGTTCAATAATGATGCAATTTATTGTAGACCTGTTTAATTGATATTCATTGTTTTTATTATCACGATGCATTTCATTAAACTGTATGATCATAATTATCAGTTTAGTGTGTGTGTGTGTGTTTTTTTTAATTTGGCAAAACCCGAACATCGTCAATACAATTTATTGAGCATAAAAATTTTCCTTTTGAAAATTAACGAACAATAATAATTGCAGACACTGAAAAATCTTTGCAATACAATGGCTTTCAATTCATTTTCGTTTGAATAATGAATTCAGAACATTATTATCAATAATAATTACACAAGCGATGATTAGTTATTTGTTCGTTGTATACTCAAAAATGGCTTGTGTAGGTTTCTACAGGCGATATTTGATGGAACGTTTACATAAATTTAAGTCTACCAAGTATTTCATTTTTGTTTGCCATGATTAAAATGGAGGAAAATATTAGTTATTTATATTGGCTGCACTAAGAGCTACTCATTTAGATTTAATAAAGAATTTCGGGATTTGTTATAGATATTTATCTAGGCTCTGCTCGTAAATAAATTTTCCATCACATTTACATCAGTCTTCTTGGATTGTTCACGTTATTATAAGTCATTCTGTCAATTTGAGTTCATTGTTAACTATGCAAATTGTTCCGAAGTTTTCGTTTGTATTATGCAGTAGCTACAATAACATTTTGAAAGGGGTGAGTAATAGTAAGAAAGATAGTTGGAAATGTGTATATTCATAAAATTATTAAGGATGTGAAATCCGTTAGATTTAACCTATGAATAAATTGAAAATATGAAGGTGATAATTAAATATAAACATTAATAACCAATTTACTGTATGCAAAAAGATAATCACAGTAATAGAATGATAACTTGTACGTGATACTTTTAAACATGTAACTCGGGTCTGAAATAAACTGACACGTCTGCAGAGAACTCATCCGTTAGATAAGTTTCCTTTCGTCAAGCGTGAATAGTTTAGACAGTATTGGACGATCTATATGAATACATAATAATCAAATGTTTTGCAACAATAAGATCCGCAACAGCAGCATTACGACAGTTGAAAAACACCTCGAACTCAAAACAATTGTCTACCAACATCGAAGTCAGAATTTCCTTTACCGAACATCTAGACAGTTCTATTGTATGGAGTTTAAACTTGAAAAACTACAAAAACCAAATAAAACACTACGCTGAGAATTGGCGACAGATAGATATGCAAAGAATATATATAGCGATTGAGCTCAACTGGAGAGGATAACTAAGGAAATAGTTGGTTGGAGACCTAGTCTCCTTGAAGGGTAACAAGTGTAAGTAAGTCTAAAGGTTCACAATATTCAACATATTCAAATTTCTGTTCGCTTAAATAATTTTTAATAATTTTAATTCTGACAGTTCATTTACTTTAACCATATATATATATATATCGGAGTAAACAGGTATAAGGAAATATTTTAAGGTTAGTCACCATTGCCTTAGTTAGTCACTCATGAAGAGCATGGTTTTTTCCTGTTTATTTAGTGAAATTTACATAAAACAATGAAGAGTGATTTCCTCTTTTTATTTTCTCTTTTCAAAGACAAAAGTTAAGAGTTAAAAAAAAAATCTGTTTCTCTGTTAACAGACTGACTTTACATCCAAATGAATCATTTTCATTGTTATTTTTGCATATATATATATCTGTATTTATAAACATCAATTGTGGAATGAATGTAAATTTTTGGTGATACGTCAGACTTTTACTTTACTTTTGAAGTATCAGTATGCCCATTTGGCTGGACTAACATTCTGCATGGGTAATTTGACAGTTGACTGACCCTGACTCACTAAATAATTGTCAAAATTGCATAGTCTGCATATATTTCTTTATTTTTATTCCATAGTTAAATGTCTAGAGATAGGCTATGTAAGGTTTAGCGCAAAAAAAATGTAAGAAGTTGAAGCGATATAGTAATAATAACCTGTGCAACTACTTCAGTGAGATGGAGCAAAATAAAGAAGGTTAATACAGTTCGTAAACTGGCATTTATATGCATATATCACTGCCATTTAATTTGTTCTGTCTGTTTTACTTTGTTTAAATTTTGATACCATAGATGGAATCACTAAGCAAGGTCAAGAATGGGAAGAAACTTGACAACATTAGGTTTATCAACAACACAAAACAGTGAGCAATTTACAAATACTTAAACTTTGTTGTTCACCTATTAAAAAGCACAAGGTGGGATAGTTGTCGTTCCATATTATAAACTATGGAATAGGACGAAAATGTAGAAAGTATAAGCTTTGGTATCTCAATAATACAGATGGCATAGGTTATGATCAGTCTCAATGAAGATTCTGCATTCATTATTTGTTCTCTAAAAGTCATACTCTACATTTTTAAATGTTTCAATAACACTGAGATTGTTACTTTGAACTTTTCGATTTATACATTGTCACTCTTTCCGCCTGATTAGCTTGTGTAAAGTATGACGCACGCATGCTTATAATCAACTCCCCACTTTATCCATGTTAATCCTAATCAGTGAGAATGAATCAGCCATTAATATTCAAGTCAAATGCTCACTTTAATTCCAGACTAGTCAGTATTCACTTAACTACATTGGAATGTTAGTGAATGGAAGTCAGTCGTTAAACCCTATGTAAGATAGTACTGGATAACCCAACAGTACTGTGGTTATAAAACGTTTTCTGTCTGATAGCTCGCATTCTGAGAAAAAAATTTTATGTCAAGACAAACGAAAAACTAGCCGAAAGTGAACGTAAACTGATGGGAGTAATTATTATGTTGTTATTAAATTCTGATCTCAGTCATAAAACTCAGATAATCTAGTGACAATTATACACCACAGAAAACTCTATGTCTAAACTGATACAAATAAGTCTTCTGATATATATAAAGACTATATTCTAGCGAATAAGCAAAAAAGGCCTAACTATGGCTATATTTTCAATGTATGTCAATCAATGAATTTCAATCGTATTTCCTCAATAGAGAAATTCTTTGCATACTTTACTAACCAAATACAATGTTAGTCAATGAAGAAAATATTTACTAAACAATCCATCGATGCACCCAATAATGACATATGTCATTCATTCTATGTAAGATAGATTGGAGCTGTCTGAATGGGTTTGTATTTGTTTAAATTACCATTTCAACAATCCAAAAAAAAACAATTGAGGAAAGTAATGACTTTGGATTTCGTTACATTGAATAATTTCCTTCTTGTACTGTCAATGCTTAGACGGATTTTATGTGAGTAGGAAAAAGTGAAATAATGTTTAAAATGTAAACGCTCATAATAAATATACTGTTATTACAGTATTACTAATTCGTTATTGCAGCGTTAAATTAAATCACAACTAGCTGTTCGCTGTCAATTTTCTACTCAATTACATAACTCTATATATTTATTAGCATAGAGTATCGAGAAGGATCTCATTGAAATGAAAAGCATTTATTCTTTCAACTTTTATTTTTAATGCCTCAAAGGGATATTTAATGAATTGCTGTAAATGTCACAAAATTAATAAGAACAAGTATGTCAATAATGCATCATACATGTTGATAGGATTGATTTTTTAGAAATAAATTTTTCTATCAATCAAACACAGCTCGTCAACTGCTACGATATCCCATTCCTCCGTTCTCAGTTAGCCATTCATCAACCGTATATATTGTTCTGAAAGATTTTAGAACATGAGGAAATAAGATTTGAGGAACGGATTCCTAATGATTACTCTTGCTTATGTATGCGATCTGATGAACAATAACAATCTATGTTTATAAAATTTACTTTTTTTGTACTAATCAAACTTCTTTATGAAATAAAAGAAAATCGGCAGCTTCTCATCTCATCTGATAAATAAAAACCGGTGAAACTAGTTCTCTTTCATGCATTTTTTTAAATATTACGAAAAGTTTGATAAAAAGAACTAAGGATCAAAGCGGTAAACATAAAACCCATGACTCTTGCACCCCGCAGGATTCGAAGCCAGGACCTTCGGTATTGTAGGCGAACGCCTAACCATTGGACCACTGGGCCGGCATCTAACGGTGTTAATGTGTAACTTGATCAATTCAGGGAGTTGCGCAACCTCATACAGTGTCTTCGGTAGTTACTGTCTACACCCGAACAGGTTGAACTTCACTGGTCACGTCTTCCCACTAGAACTCGGAGAAGTTTCCTCACGAAGCTAGTCACTAGTGAACACAGGTAATTTGCATAACGGGGTTGTGAAGATTGTTAAGATACATATTTTTGAAACCATGAATCGATCAATGTTAGACCACCATTAGAAACCTGGCTGCAGTGGACGGCCGTTTCGTCCTGGTATGGGACTCCTCAGCAGTGCGCATCCACGATGGTTAGGCGTTCGCCTACAATACCGAAGGCCTTGGGTTCGAATCCTGCGGGGTGCAGGAGTCGTGGATGCGCACTGCTGATGAGTCCTATACCAGGGCAAAACGGCCGTCCAGTGCTTCCAGGTTTCTAATGGTTGTCTAATATTGGTCGATTCATGGTTTCAAAAAAATATGTAACTTAACAATCTTCACAACCCCGTAATGCAAACATAAAATCGATGTTGAAGAATAGAAATCGGACACAAACTCTACCATAACTTTGTGTCACACTAATTTCCTCGTTTGTTTATTTCATTTGCCTTACGGAACTATCAATATCCTAAACATACATAAAATATTGGATAATTGTTCACTTCCTAAAACTTAATTACATCAAAATAACCACTGTAACTTTGATTATGTACTAGTAGACAGAAACTTATGTTTTTATTGCGTTTGTAATAACAGTGGTATGCATAAATGTACACAAATTTTTTATGTCATCTCTTAATCAATAATCGTGATATATATATATAATCTCTTTGGTTTCCAGTAACTTTCTAATCTGCGCCGATTCCATTTTCGTCTACTTGTAACATTTAAATTGTATTAACACGTTTCCGTCGATAAATTTTCGTAAATTGAATTGACTAATTTTACATGGTAAAGAAAGTAGTAGCTGTTCAATGTATCAGTGTGCATTAAAGATTGTTGTGAAAGAGTATTATTATCAAGAAGTTAATCACAGTTGTCTTGATTATTATCCAGACTTCATCCCAAGTGAAATATAGATTTCCTCTGAATCAAAATCGGTAAATCCAGGTACCCACCTACATTTAGTTATGAACTAAGCATGTATTGTCTGGCTTAAATGCTAGGTCGTT